CCCGCCGCTCTCCCGACCTTCGCCCGGCGGTCGCGCGCGCGCCGTTTTCGTCACATTGTCACCGCTCACGCGCGCGCGCTTCGTCCGCGTCGTCGCCGCGCGCGCGAGGGCGTCGAAGTACGCCTCGCGCTTCGCCTTGAGGTCGTCCGCGCGCGCGTCCGCCATCGCGCGCGCGGCGGTGCGACGGGGACGACGCGACGATGATGGGATGATGGTTCATGGACCCCCTCGAACGTGGTGTTTTCACGAGTGATGACTCGTCGATACCGCGTCCAGGCTGGGCCCGATCGCCATCGCGCGCGGTGACGGGCGACGGACGACGCACGGCGACGCGCGCGCGGACGACGGACGTCGACGACGAACGCGGTGGCCGACGGCGCGCGCGCGCGACGGGCTCGCGGCGACGCGCGACGGGCGATCGATCGAGCGGTGGCGTCGAACGCGATGACGATGAACGCGATCGCGACGACGCGACGACGACGACGGCGATGGACCGCGGCGGCGACGACGGCGATGGTGATGACGGTGGTGATGTCGTTGACGACCGCGGTGAGGGGGGAGACGTGCGGGACGGGGTGCGCGCCGAATTCGGAGATCGCGCGGGCGACGCGCGTCGCGGCGGAGGCGGACAAGGCGCGCGCGCGGAGCGTGGAGGAGAGTAAAATCGCGCGTGAGGGGTTGGAACGGGCGAAGCGAGAGGTGAAAGAGACTGGGGTGAAGATGATGGCGCTGGAGCGGGAGATGGAGAACGTTCGAACGACGTTGAAGCAGAGTCAGAGCGAGAGCGCGTCGCTGGAACGGACGCTCGCGGAGACGCGAGAGGAGCTCGCGAGGTCCAAGGCGAGCGATTCCGCTCGCGTTCGGGCGTTGGAGGAGCGCTTGATCGCGGCTGAGGAGGCTTGGGCGCCGGTTTGGTTGCGACGACGGGCGGATAAAATCGTCAAGACGAGCCAAGAGCGAACCGCTCGGGCGGTGCAGTTTGGCAAGGAGAAGATCCCGGAGGTCGTCAACGCGGCGAAGGCGAGAACGAAGAAAGTCGTGGAGACGAGTAAAGAGCACACCACCAAGATGATTCAGGCGAGCAAGGAGCGAACGAAAAAGGTGGTCGACGCGGCGAACGAGCATTTCCCGAAAGTGGTCAAGGCGAGCAGAGAGCAAACGACAAAGCTCGTCAACGCGGGCAGGGGCGTCGTTGGTAAGGTCTCTCAGGAGGTCGGTCACATATCGGAGAAGCTCACTGTTCTGAAGGACCTGAAGGACGACTTAAAAGAGGCTCGTAAGATTCATGAGAAGAAGAGCAAGACCGGCAAGGAGCCGAAAAGGTATCCGGAAAAGTTTTCAACGAGACAAGCCGTTCGCGCGTATGAGCTCGCTGATGAATTTGCGGCGGCATCGCGCGCGGGAAAGGCCTCGGCGACTCGCGTCGTCGTTTCGACCAAGGAGGCTAGTAAGAAGGGGCTTCAGCGTGCTCGCGTCGCGATGAAAGAGCAGCTCGAACGTTTGAAACCGATGACGGAGCGACTGCGCACAGCCACAAAGAAGCACGTCGGCGTAAAGCTCGTCCCGTACGTGCTCGCCATTCCCGTCGCAGCTCTCCAAAAAGAGCTCTCTGGATACAATACTTATCAATTAGCCGAAAGGATCGCCGACACGTTGCTCACGCTCATCGCGACCGTCATCCTTTTGATGATTGTCAAGGTGCTTTTCTTCAGTCCGTTGGATGAAAACGCGGCGACGTACTCGATCATGAAAGTCCCACAGGAGAACGGCGTGGACGTCATCATCCGCCTCCCAGGGGTTGAGAGCATGGATGAGATCGATTTCCGATTTGATCAGACGTTTAACCAAATCCACATCGACACCGACGAGACGAGGCACAGCGAGCTCATTGTTGTGCCCAGGTGCAAAATCGGAATCAAGCGGTGGGCCAGACCCGAGCCGAAGTTTTTAGACGGTGAAGAGGTCCTCTTGGTCGAACTCCGTCCTATTCAGTTGCGGGCGAATGGTACAGTACATTCCGATGATATCATGGAGCCGCCACCGCCGCCGAGACAGCCGTTCGCGCCGAGAAACAGCAAACCATTTGAGCCAGTTTCCAAACGCGCGGCGCCTCGGAAAAAAGCATCCACAGAAAAAGTGTCCACGCGCTCGACGAGAAGCCGTCGATAATCGGAATAAAATCACATTTCTATCATCTATCTACGTGCCGCGCGCTTAGTCTCCGCCTCGAACTGACTCGCGATGAGCTTCTGTATGCTCGCGCTCTCTTTGTCTACGAATGAAGCATCCGTCGCGTCTCGACGTCGAGCCATCACTTTCTTCACGACCTTTTCTTTGACTATTTCGGACAGCGAGTCATCGTAAGCGCCAGATTCCACTAGTGACTTGATGTACGTGCGACACAGCGCGCACACTGCGACTTCTGGCGACACCATGACTTCTGGCGACACCATGACTTCTGGCGACACCATGACTTCTGGCGACACCATGACTTCTGGCGACGGTTGCTCGATGTCATCCGACTCAATGGTCTTGGCGTCGTCAACATCCTCCACGGACTCATCGAACCATCGCGGGTGGGCGTTACCGCTTCTGTGTCTACACGCGTCGATGAAAAACGTGAACGCATCCCCTCTCACCGTTCGCGCGACGGAGAGATCCACCCCATCCGCTGCGTCGCACTTGTACTCCTGCTTCAGAGCTCCCGGAGCCGGTTTCACCGACTCACCTCCGCGAAGCATGAGCTGCGCCGCCATATTTTTATACGTCACCTTGCTCGTCGCCTTGGCGTGAATTTTCCCCTCCTCCGTCACCGCCTCCCCAATCGCGCGCGCGCGCTCTTTCGGATGCGTTCGCAACCACTCCTCGCTCACCGCAGCCCGTGGCCCGACACCCGCGGCGTCTCTCAACTTTTTCGCAGCGAGCGCGTCCAGAAACCGCTGCCGCGCCGCCCGCGGCACCTTACTCGGCGCTCGTATCGAGAACGCCTGCTCCACCATCGGCCGCTCGCCGTCCGGTAACATCCCTAGCATCACCGAGTTCGCTTTTGCCTGTCGCTCCGCGTCCTCCGCCGTCCCGCGCGTCGCCGTCCCGCGCGTCGCCGTCCCGCGCGCGTCATTCACCCTCTGCACCGCTCCCGTCCTCTCCGTCGTCCCCGTCGGCGCTCTATCGCCTCGCGGGCGATACGGCGCGTCTCTCCTTTCGCTTCGTTCCTCGAGCGGGAGCCAATCACGCGCGCGTCGGCGTCCGAGGGCGCGAAATTCGCTCGAGGCGTTCGCATCCGTCCCGCTCTGCGAGCGCTCCGTGTTCGTCGTCGACGCGATCGCGATCGCTCGGGCGCGCTCGAGGATGTCCTCGCGTTTATTGGACGTGTTCATCGGTCGTCACTCGGGACATCACGCGATGCGGCGCTTTGTGAGGCGAGGCGTGTTGAGGTCTGTCTGCGCTACACGCTCGAGTCTCGCGTCGGTTGCGTCTCGGGCGATTTGGGCGCCGATAGGGCGTGCACGACCTTTCTGACGAGCTCCTTGGCGTCTTCGCACGGTGCGCGACCGAGGGAACGGCGGGATGCTCGAAGTTTGATGAGTCTGTCGTAGGCGACACGCGACGACGCGCGAAGCGCGGCGAGCGTCTCTCGCTCCGAAGCGGCTCGACCGAGGACGGGGATCCAGAGGTCGGGATTATCGCCGACGGCGGTGGCGGCGGACTTGGCGGCGCCGATGGCATCGTCGACGGTGAAACGACCCTCCGGAATGTCCGTCTTTGAGCCCGAGTCCTCGTCCAGGAGCGCCTCAAAGGCTGCGATGAAATCGTCGATGAGTCTCTCGCGCGTGCTCTCACCTCGATCGCTCAGCAGAAACCTGAGCGCGTCCTCCATCGCCGTCTTCGTTGCCCTTCGTGCCTCATCTTCGCCACTCAGTGATTCCTTCTCGCCAGACGCAAGCTCCGACAGGCCTGCGATCGTCTTATCGAGCGCCTGGCGACAATCCGATCGAGTCTCAGTCTCCGACGACGCCATCGGAGTAGCTTCCACGCCGTACGCTCGAATGAGGCGAATCAATCGCTTGTAACGAATCGAACCATCCTCGGCGAGCAGAAGACGTCGCAGACTCTCCCGCATCTCCGGACTTCGATCGCTTAGAACGCGCGATAACACGAAGGGGTAACTCCTATCAACGACGCGAAACGATGGATCAATCGTAGTCGCCGTGCCCTCCAAAGCCGCCAACGCGCGAAGAATTCGCGAGAAGTACGGCGGTAACCTAAAGCCGTGCTTCATGAGCGCCGTCGAAAGTTGAGAGACGACGCCCATGAAGTCGTTACTATTTCTAACCTTGGTCGTGCTCTCACCAGCGAAGACAGATCGCAGCGCCTCCTCCGCCGCGGCTCTATCAACGTGCGGCGGAAGAAAGTTCATCACGCGCAAGTCGTCCACCAACCCACTAGGGTCGCGATTGACGAATCCTATCAAGCCTCGAACCATCGCTCGCCTGGTCTCGATCGGGACCTCCACGGTCATCCCGAAATCTAGATACGTCAGCCCGCCGTTTTCGGCCACGATCAAGTTTCCAGGGTGTGGGTCGGTGTGCATGAATCCCGACGTCAGCAACTGATGAAGGGACGCCCTGAGGCCGCGATCGAGCACTTCATTCGGTACAATCCCTCTAGATTCCATCATCGCCACGTCCGTGAGGCGCAAACCCTCGACCCACTCCATCGTGAGCACCGTTTGCGTGCTCAAAAAATCAACCACCCTGGGGGCGTACACCAGTCCCGCCAGCCCCACGCCGGCGTCGCCGTCCGGGGCGTACATCGCCCTGAACCGCTCACAACTCTCGGCCTCTTTGTTATAATCCATTTCTTCGAATATTCTACCCACGAGCTCGTCGACAATGCCCACGACGTCGCTCTTAAAATTCCTCCAATAGCCTACAAATCCCGCGAAACGGCGCAGGATCACAGCGTCAAGTGCCACGAGCTCTGCCAACCCCGGACGCTGCAGTTTAATCGCTACGTCTTGCCCACCTGGAAGCGTCGCTCGATACACCTGCGCCAAAGACGCCGCCGCCACGGGCGTCTCGTGGAACTTTTCAAAAAAATCAACCCCCAACCCCAACTCGCGCTCGAGCGTTTCCAGACTCGTCGCCGCGTCTTGCGGCGCGAGCGCGTCTTGCAATTTCGCCAGCTCCTCGACGTACTCCACCGGAAATACGTCGGCGCGCGTCGACATCACCTGTCCAAGCTTTATGTACGCCGGTCCGAGCCGCGCGAGCGTCTCCGTGAGCCTCTGCGCCCGCCTTCTTCGCTCGCCCGCCCGCGCGGCGACGCCCAGACCGATCGCGCCGAGCTCGTACGCCACCACCAACGCCCGTCTCAAAACCTTCATCGGCCGACGCTTAAAATACGCCTCGAACGCCTCGACGTCGTACCGCAATTCCCCCCGCCACGGCGCGCGCGCGTCCGGGCTCGCGCGCGCGGCGCCGTCCCGCGCGTCTCGCGCCCGCGCCGCGCGCGCCTCCACCGCGCGCGCGCGCGCGCGCGCCAGTCCCCCCGACCCCCACCGATCGACGCCATCGCTCGACGCGCGCGAGCTCGACGCCGTCGCGCCGCTCGCGACGCGCGCGAACGCGCGCGCGGTGACGTCGAGCGCGCGACGTTTCGCGTCGACGTCGCTCGAGCGCCTACACGCGCGCGCGATCGCGCGCGACGCCTCCGAACCCCGCGCGAGGTCCGATGCGACTCGACGCATCGCGCGCGACGGTCCCGATCGACGCGCGACGTCGAGCGCGGCTCAGGACGCGCGCATGGCGAGGACGTGGGTGCGCGAGACGAACGATCGGCGTCGCGCTTTGACGCCACCCCGCGGCGCGCGCCGCTTTCGCGACGTCAAACTCGCCGGAATCGTCGAGGGATTCATGCGCGCGAGCGCGCGCGCGTCCGCGCGTTCGATGAAGGACCACGCGCGCGGCGCGAGGACGCGATGTGGAAGGACACAGGCGCGACCGATTATCCAAACGAACCGCTCCGAAACGCTCTTCAGACGCCGGGTCTCGCGCGCGTCCACGGATGAGGACGGATACTGGGTTCCGGGACCGTTCTTACGACCCGAGGGATCGCCCGCGGCGGAGGCGTACACCGGACCGACGGTGTGGCGGTTGATGCAGGCGGAGCTCGTCGAGAGCGGCGTGGAGCAAATCGCGCCGGCGAGCGCGAAGGCGATGTCCGAGAGCGATGGATGGACGCTGTTGGACGTGCGACCGACTGGGGATTATGAACAGAGGCACTGCTGGGGGGCGGTGAACGCGCAGTATTATCGAGCGCTCGACGCGATGGATCCGAGGAACTGGGCGAACAGCGCGCTGAGCGCGCTCATCTTTCCGGAACGCCTGACGGACGGGAAAGGTTACCTGAACGTGACGGAGAACGAAAATTTTATCGATGAGATTTTGGAGAGCGTGGAGTGGGGGAGTAAGCTGATCTTGTACGACGACGTCGGGGGAGTGCTCGGTGAGCCTGGCGTGAACTATGAGAACGGCGTGCAGACGCCGTCGCTCATGGCGCTGTACGAGCTCGCGGCTCGAGGATGGGGGACAGAGAATCTCCTGCACATGGCGGGTGGACTGACGTACTGGGATGAGGTCGAGCAGTTCGACTGCGGTGAGATTCCAAAGGACGACGCGTGAATCGAGCTCGCCGAGCGAAGGCGACGGTCGACTGATGGATCCAAGACTGAACTCTGACGATATCTATCATATGCTGCTACCTACGTGTAATATCGCACGCTCTAAACTCTAGCCCACTGATGCACTCATGCGACGCGTCACCACGTCACCACCCGCTCTGTCGAAGGGTCTCGTACGCGCCGAAACTAATAGCCGAGCCCGGCGCCACGGACGCCACGCGCGTGACGACACCCGCGAACAATCCTCTCACACCGTCGCGCTCGACCACGCGTCGTAGAACGCTAAACAGTGTCGCCGACGCGCGATCGTCGAACCGAAGCGTCTGCAAACGCGTCTTGGCCAAATCGAGCGGGTGCGTCAGCGTCGTCGCCGCCGCAGCCGCGCCGAGCCCGCACGCCGAGCTCACCGCCGGCATCACCTCCTCGCCGCCCCCGATGAACCCCCGCAGGCGTTCATAAATCACGAAATACGTCGCCGACCACGGCCACCAGACGAAATTCTGTGCCCAGTACCCTCGAAACAAACCGCGCGCGCCCTCCTCGCGCGCGATGACCCGCGCGGCGTGCGCCCAATTCCGATACGTCCCCGCGCGCTCATCGACCCCTAACACCGCTTGCGTTTGCAACCGCTCCTTTATCACGTCCATGGGCGTGTACACGACCCCCGCGAGAGCCTGCGCCCACATTCCCGTCGCCGCGAGCGCGAGCGCGCCGTCTCCGAGCTCTCGTCGTCCGCTCTCGTACCCGACGAAGTACGCCCCCGACGCCGCGGGCGCGAACATCACCACGGCGCCGAACCCACTGTATAACCCTCTCCCGAGCATCGTCGTCCCGGACGTCGACGCGAGCGCGCCGAGGACCTGCGCGCGTGATTTCATCGTGTCGAGCGGATGGGTGACGAATCGCGACGCGACGCCCGCGATCGCGCCTCTCGCGCCGTCCGCGACGGACGAAGAGGACGGTGACACCACCGCGGGCGTCCCCGCATCATCGCCCATCTCGAGACGCGGTGAGGAGTGAGGAGTGAGGAGTGACAATCACGAGCTACCGCGGGTCGGCGACGTAGCGCGCGACGTCGACGCCAGAGAGTTCGGCGATGCGATCCCGATCATCGAACGGACGCCACGTCGCGTTCGGTGGTGACGCGAGTCTCACGGTGCGACCGCACGCGTCGTAGGCGCTGAAGTTGAAGCGCGCGATCGCTCTGGACTCGCGCTCGAGCGCTCGAGACGCCGTCTTCGGCGAGCGATGGAACGCGACGGCGTCCTCGAACACCACCAGAGCGCCCCCGCTCGCGTCGATGGGGACGAAATTCTCCGCGCACACCAATCTCGTCGCTATCGACTGATTTCCAAAGTCAACGACGTGCTCGGCATCCGTCGTCGACGCGTCGCTCGCGTCGTCGTCCGCGAGCGCGTGCTCGAACCACCGTCCGCCGACGTCCTCACCTCCCTCGCCCACGTCCACCAACGCGTGCCCGATGTACTCCCCCGGCAAGTACCCATCCCTGTGCCACATCACATTCGTCCCGTTGCGCGGCGCGAACACCTCGACGTCGCCCGCCGCGCGCGTCGCCTCCGTCCGCGCCAACAACCCGTCCCAAATCGCCAACTTCACGTACGCCTCCAACGACCGCCACGGTCCGTCCGCCGACGCCTCCGCGGCATCGAACCCTTCGACGCGGCACCCACGGTCGTCGCACGTCCACCGCGCGCGCGCGCCCGCGGCGCGAAGCGCGACGGACGCGCGCGATGGAAAGCGCACTTTTTCACCGAGCACGCGCGCCAACGGCGGCGCCCGCGCGTCGCCCCCTCTCCCGCGCGTCGATCGATACAACCGCGCGCGCGTCGCCGCGCCGTCGTCCTCGACGTCGCAGACGTCGATCGCGCGCCCGTACGCGCCGTCGCGCGCCATGACGCGCGCGCGTCGCCGAGCGCCGAGCGAAAGTACCCGTAACGCAATCGACGCCCTCGACGGTGAAATGAACGACAAAGAATCGCATCGTTCGGATGTAGCTGCGCACCCTCTTACGAAAATACCAACAAATGGTCGGCGGATTTTGACTAATCTCCGTGTTGGTTGTGATCCAGCTACCCTCAGCCAATGGCTGTATTCAGTTTCGACCGGTACCTGGCGCCCAAAGTTTTGAATTATGAGACCGGCGAGCTCCCTCGCCGACACGTCAAAAGACCGAGGTTCGAGGCCTCGAGGTGCGCGAGAGGGAAAGCCTTTCGCGCGCGATTACTCGCCGATGCGTCGTTCGTCTTCACACGCCTCGTCCCCGCGTGGTCGAGTCCAACACGTGGCGTCGCACGCGCGACGCACTCGCGCGTGTCGTCGATGTCTCGCGAATGCTTTTCATGTAGTGGTATTCCTTATGTAGTAGTATCTCTGAAGTCGTAAAGGACGGCGCGTCGACCCATGTACCGCAGATGGAGATTGCGCCATCGCGTCACTCGACGGGTCGCGTGCCGTGTGACGGTTTGATGGTTCATGACTCATGAGAACAGTGGTACTCCAGTGCTCGACACCGACGATCGACGTCGACGGCGCGCGTCCC